AAGTGGTGCAACAGTTAGAGCATTACACTTAGGTTGTATGTTGAACTTCTTTCGCACCGTACGTAGCCAACCATGCTAATCGGAGGTGCGGGGAGTTAACTTAACCCATCATCCCTCTGAGGTCAATAATATGAGCACCACTTTGCGGGAAGGCAGCAAATGCTGCAGATTACATACAGTGGATCGACTGGTTTATACCATGGGAATGTAGAATTTCAAACGCGAATTCAGAGGCTTGCACCAACTCATTACTGATTCTCCATGCAGACCCAACCCAATATTGTGGCTGCGAGTTTCATTAAAAAAATGATTTGCGGCACAATTGTATATAGCTACAATATTAGACCGCATTAAGGAATACAAGCATTCATTATGGGTTTTGGAGAATCACACAAAGCACTTGTTAAAAATGTAATTGCCACTTAAAGTAAAATGCTGAAGCTAAGCAGTGGAATAATGTACAAACTTAAAACATGGATGGCACAATCTTGTAATCATTAAAACTCTCAGGTCAAAGTCCAGCAGATCAATCAGAAATTGCAGGACATCTATGAGCAGAGGTGTCACCTTTTACAGTGGGTAGTACAGCAGCTGGCTCGATGAGTTCTGAGATGACAAGAGGATGTTCACATCATGGGACCTCCTCTGCCAGTACCAAAATATGAGAATAGGTTTTCCCCTTTTACTGGTAGGAACCTCCTGGTTACACCAGCCCACAGGGGATTATTGTGTCCGTCGTGCAGGGAGGGGCTGGGTGGGGAGGGTGGGGAGGGGCTGGTGGGGAGGGTGGGGCTGGGTGGGGGGTGGGAGGGGTAGGGCTGGGTGGGGAGGGCTGGTCACCCCGTGGTGCCCTTATAAAACTCAACGTTTAACCTACTCACGCCGGCTTGTGCCCGCCCTCACAGTCGGGCATATTTGCGGAATACACCACGCCGCCGTTGACCCTGGCCATTGACCGAGCAACCCAACGTTCCTACCAGCTCCCTCCGCAGGAATGTGTTTTCTGGCGAGGTAAATTAACATCTCACCACTATGGTGGTAGTCCACCAACATTTTCTGTGTTGTATTTTCCATCGTCACTGGACATTGATTCATTCTGACCACAAGTATCGTGGTTAATGCAGACATGATTCCTTGTAAAAAGGTTTCAGTTTGGTGTTTTAGCATCTTTACACCTGTTTTGTTGCCAGAAAAAAGGGGAAAACCTATTCTCAGGATGTTTATGATACAGGTTTTGTATGTCAGTCGGCATGCTGTTCTGCACAATAAAGCCCAAGCCAAACATCCAATGTCCAGTGGCGATGGAAAATACAACACAAAAAATGTTGGTGGACTACCACCGTAGTGGTGAGATGTTAACTACCTCGCCTAGTATACAAGAGGTCGTGGATGCAATTCTGACCCTAACGCCTGTAAATATGGAGTGTGCATGTTTCCTCGACATTTAGAATCAACATCACGCGTTTAGAGTATTTGGCTTGCGATACATTTCCACATAAGCCACTCCATTGAGCTATCGTTTGTGGCCAGGTCGCTTCAGAAAGCGAGTTTAGCGACACAGAGATGGTTCATGTCTCAGCAGCACAGAGATGGTTCATGTCTCAGCAGCACAGAGATGGTTCATGTCTCAGCAGCACACGAACACTGTCCTGGCCAAGCGCCATATTTCCAGGGCTGCTCCAGTCATTGTAGAATTGCATCCCACTCACACAAAAGACAAAGATCCCCCGTATAGCCTTAACAGACTGTTGAGGTAAGTGCTGTTCGCGATCACCTATGAAGGCGATAACGGCACACAAGGGGGTGGGTGGCCAGCACCACGCCCAGCCGCCTTTGTCTCTCCATTGGCGATATTTTTACGCACCGCACCAGGTACTAATTTGAGGCCGAGTCAACCTAGGGGTGGCCCAGGACCGGTTCAGATAATCGTCACTGGTGTTGGCCAAATCCATGCACACATACCGCAGCAGCTCGTCCACCACCACTTTTCAGAGACAGCTGAGGATCCTCCCGTTTGCCTCATCTCCCTGTCCCCCTAAAAATACCAAGATCCCAAACGTTGCCCCTACGTGAGTAGGAGGGTAGCGAGCCCAACCACCTTCCCTTTCCCTGCCCCGTGGCCACCTGGCTTTGTATCGGCCTCTTGTTTAATAAGAAAAAATATATAATCATAAAAAAGACAGTTGCAGACCGCTCATCTGTTCAAGTCGGGCGTGGTGGAGACGACACCCTGAGCCTGGCTCCGCGGAGCCTCCGGAGTTGCGACTGAAAATGCCTTGTCGTGACAAAGGGCACGTTATAAATTGTTCTGATATTATTATCGTTATAACAGCTCGAATGAAGCTGCGATGTGCCTCGATCACAAGATTAAAATTGTTCAATGACTTTCAGAACAAATATCGAAGCCTAAAAAACAAACGGCGCATAACGAAACGAGCGCGAGCCCGCATCACATCCACGAGAGAGACCCGAGAGCGAGAACGACAAGCCCCTGGACCGAGTGATGGGATTGGTTCATGGCAAAGGCTTTCATCCAGCAGTGTGTAGACAACGCCAAGCGATAACGGTGATTTAAACGTGACGCATTTTCCTCCGCTCTCATAACCAGACGTAAAACCACAGAAGTGCATCTGCACGAGAGGCGCAAAATCAGAGCCGGGACTCATCACTAATGGCCCAGGAGCCTGCTGCATTATTAACAAGCGCGCTGCAGATGGCAGCTTGTTAGAGCATTATCTCGTTACGGAGCAGGGACAAGATTGAAGATACTGGACGGGGGGGGGGGGGGTGAGACTTAAGAGCGACGCTAAGAACGTGAATTGTGAGCGCAAGTGGCAGGGTGAGGAGGAAGGATCGGGAGAATGGCAGCAGTGGCTATTTTGAGATGCTCTGTCGTGCGTAAGAAATCACGAGTGTTTGTCCCTGGGGTTCTGTGATTGCATTCGTTTCTATGCTTTGAAAAATAAATATATATTGTTTTCATGCTTGCGCGAGATGTCTGCATTTTGAAACCGGGCTCGCTACATAAATGGATATGCAATATAAAAACGACCAAGGGTGGCTTAAGATGTGCCAGGAGAGAAGGCGCTACCTACATGTATTATTTAAGATGATCTTGGGGGCACGCTTATGAAATAAAACCGCTTTTATTTTTCTAACAAAGATTCACCGTGTCCCGAGACTCTTTCCTAAAGGAATGTAGTCGATTAATGAAGATGCTGTCTGTACTGCATCAAAGAGGGCACACACTGGACTTGCAATCCAAGAGGTCGCCGGTTTGATCGATTTCCCAGTGAGGTAGTTGAAAGCAATGAGGAAAAGTCTTAAATGCTCGGAGCCCAGCAGATTGGAAGGCATGCACGAAATCCCAGCGTTAGCCATCAACACCCCGTTCTCCAAAACAATGTGAGATGTAAATTTCGATGTAAAGCTTTCGTGACTGCAGGAATTCATATTCTTGGTTCTTTCGGTAAAGTCACGTAGAAGGGAAATAATAAAATAATAAAAATAAAACATAATCAAATGAAATTCTCACGACGTTTCGGCCACAACGCAAGCAGCCGTCCTCAGGTGAAGCAACAGAGCTGTCGGAAAGACAGCGTCTTAATGAACACTGCAAAGCTTGGCAGCGTATTTTAAGCTGGGTGGGAGGAGGAGAGAGCCTTGACAAAGGAATTTACATATCAGAGGAATTTTGCATGTTGATGACATATCTGCCTTTGTCATCACTTTCTCCTGTCACACCTGACCTTGAATGTATGTTCTTAAGAGTCTCCCACCATCTGGTTTTAGGCCTTCCACCTTGGTCACCCATCTCTGGGTGCCATGTCATGCCTCATCCGTGCCACCCCACGCCTCTCGTTGTAACCAGCCCTCATCTGTGTTGCACACATTCCTCACCCACGACAACCTACTCTCCTACAAACCAGCATTACTTTTCGACCAAATGCTTTTCCAGACAAATGTTTCTTCCTCATTATATTCCAAGCTATCCGATCCGAGTTTCCTACTCTATCCCAGCATGTACTTTCCAGAATTCTCCACATGCACTGGATATCTTAGAGGTCAATGTGCAAGATATCAAATACATTGGAATTACCACAACATTCACCAACACTTCACTAAATATGAATCAACTCCTGGCTTGCTGCCTAGTGACAGAGCTTATGCATATTGTATATGTACGATTGAAATGTAAATACATCATTCATATTTCTCCTGCCAGTGGAGTGAATCATTGCCAATTATTTGTGTTGGCAGTTTCCACACCGAGAGCATGTGCATAGTTTTGAAAATTGTGGACTCGCTGTCAAACGCGACATGAAAGGAATGACAAAACGCATTCGCTGTGTACAATGTGCATACGTGCAATGTTCTAAAGCATTTCTCACCGGATGTATGATTGACTGTTGGACCCTGTTATGAATGACACTCTACCAAAAGTAATGCAATATGTGGAGTGATTGAGAATCGGATGTCAGATATGGATTCAGCACATTTAAAAAGCTCCAGATAGTAATTTCAGAAAGTCCTAAGCTACAAAACCCCCCATAATGTATGCTGGCACTCACTGCCCTACCCTCCGCCGATGTTTGCCTGGCCTCCACCATGGGAATGTGGAATTGTCTCCATTGCCTCAGGGACACCAACTCGGATGGGTGCCATCCCACGTTTTCGTTCAAGCAGGGCGACACTTTGACTCTGAAACGTCGTTGGCTCTTTCCAGTTTAGTTTTATTCATTCATCCTGTGACTGTGCTGATGCCGCTCAGACCAGCTGTCTACGAGAACATTTTAGCAAGTCCGTGGGTAGAAAGCCCTGAGCGGCGCTGGCTCCGTGCCCTGACATCGGCATCGCCCCAGCGAGACGCACCCAGGCCAGGACCTTGAACAAAGGTTACAGGCACACCGGCCCCTGCAGGCCACGAAGGCCGCCGCCACGCAGATCGCTTTGCTTTAGAACAGCGCGTATGACGCCGCCGCCGCCGTGCATCCGCTCACCGTCGCCCAGCTTGCCAGCCTGCTCCGCCGCCGCGCCCTGGGATGATCTTATTGATGTAGGCTCCGATTTCTGGATCCTTGGCGGTGCCACCGTCCTTACCCATGGCGGGCGGTGCCGCCTTGGCTCCTATACCGTTGCCTGCCCAAGCGGGCGGTGGACAAACGGAAGAGAAATACAATCAATGTGAGATTGTATTCATCGCCGACAATGCACCACTCACATTACACATCTGGCTGGGTGCTGCCTCCGCCAGGCTGCTCGATTCACAACTAGGAGGCTGCATAAGTTCAAATTCTGGTCAACGGGAGAACTCGGCCCATCGTCGCCAGCATCCGTGTGTTGCGTTGCCAAGTGCCTTTACACACACACACACACCGCTTAATTCACCGCACGTTAACTCCAACGCAGCTTCGTGTAATGCTGCAATCTTGCTATGATGTGTACACACTGCACCAGTTGAGGCTAAGTCGACCTAGGGGAGGCCCAGGACCGGTTCAAGATAATCGACACCGATATTGGCCGCGAGCGGGAATCGAGCTCGGGTCGCCGGGTTCGGGGTCGCGGAGTTCGGGGTGCAACGCGCTAACCGCTACACTGCCACTCCCCACTCACATAAAAAACGAAGACAAAGATCCCCCGTGTAGCCTTAACAGACTGTGGGGGCAAGTTATGTTAGCGAGTACCTATGAAGGCCAGCACGGTACACTAGGGGGTGGGTGGCCAGCACAACGCCCGACCGCCTTTTTCTCCCCAGTGGCGATGTTTACGCACCACACCAAGTACTCATTTGAGGCTGAGTCGACCTAGGGGAAGCCCAGGACCGGTTCATATAATCGTCACTGGTGTTGACCATGAGCGGGAATCGAACTCGTGTCGCCAGGTTCATAGCGCCGCGTGCTAACCGCCACACTACCGGCACGGCCACACACACACACACGCACACACACACGCGTATGCGAAGTCGGCGCATTACCTGTCACTGTGGTCATCTTGGGCACGGGCTGGATTATGGGCCGGTTACGGGGAGCCTCTTGATGTGGGGGCTGCATCGGCTGTGGGGCCGGGACGGGCTGAGGGGTCGGGATGGGCTGGGGGGTCACGGCCATCTGAGAACCACACGGGAGACATTCACAACGCAGGGTGGTTGTTAGTAACCTACCGTGTTAATTATTCACAAATACAATGAAAACACGGACTTGACAGTTAAATGGCAAAGTCACCAAGTATGTTATTAACACTGCCCTATTAATAATAATACATTTATGTTCCAGCCCTCTTGCGATACACTGCTAAAAATATCGTTCATCTCCCGGCCTAATTGCAGTTCAGGTAATTGTAGGAGTGTGATGTTATTGCCATTCGATAACGATGTAGCTGAGTAGCAGCTGTGGTTAGCAGTTTGCAGGTTCACATCCCGGTTACCGATTTGGGTTAGTGCAAATCATTCTTGTCACAGGTTGCATCAGTCAGTACACCAGACAGTGTCAGGGTTGACGTCGCAAATTCACTGCGTGTGCGGTCAGCAGAACGGCTCGGGGTTCTGCAGCGGAAAGAACAACTGAGTAGGACTCCTCAGCTGCCTGGCAGATGCAGCATCCATATTCCCCATTGTGCACTGTGAGCATCGCGACTGGAGAATGGCTGCTGACAAGTGCCCAGTAGCATCTTGAAGGAGCCGCGTCTACAAAGGCTAATCTTGAGGCTGCTGGCACCAGCCGTCAGCCATTCCATTCAGCCCCAAGTCCTCCTGTACCACTCCAGCCCGTCTCTTCTCTAGCCCGTCTCTTCTCTAACCTGAGCCGTGACTGTTTAAACCCCTCTATCTGCCAAACGTGAACAAGTTGGACATGCGGGGAAGAGAATGACAAGTGACACGACCCAGCCAATGCAAAATAAAGATGCACTGGAAACTAGATATCTCTAAGTGCCAACTTATTTGGCCAAGTGGGAAACATCGATGGGATAGAACATCACGAAAATAATCGGCCGATGGTGGTTTGTGGATGCCGTTGCTGGTCACAACGGTCTGCGCATCAGTCGGTCGGCAGGGCTAGAGACATGTTTTGGTCCTCTTTCTCCCAATCGTATTTTTAGCCCCGCAATCGACATCATGGCACGAGAAAAATAGAGCGATTTGAATTTCGCGCTAACGCCTGGGAATGGTTTTTATTTAGTTATTTAGTTCACCCAACTCGTGAAAAACCGAACATGCAGCGTCTCTTATGTCAACACGTTCGGGCGCACACTTTACCACACTTTACAACACACGCTGCTATGAGATTAAAGTTTGGAATAGTGTCACAGGGACAGCTGCCATATAATGGGGGGGGGGGGGTCCCCTCAGCTAAAAACTGCAATCTGAGACATTACATTACGTACATTACATTACATTCCGTTACGTATTTTATATTCACATGTAGCCAAATTAAGTAGCAAGTCAAATTGAATATGTTTTATTTATAGAGTCGTCCGATACACTCTGAGAATCGTTATTAACGCATTGCGACCCAGCTAAGTCACTCAGGGTCTTGGGGGCTTCCGGATCAGAGCTCTGACCTCCGAGCCGCCCGGCTACCCGAGGCGGACACGGCTTTAATGAATCGCCTTGCTGGCGACAATGGAGTGGGGGAACAGAGCGGCTGAGAAGCGAGATGCGGACGTGAAAGCGTGGCAGCGATCCACAGAGAAAGCACACGCCACCCACAACATTATAACTAGTTTGATTTTACAAAGCTCCTTTTGATTTTACAAAGCTCCTTTTTCAAAAGCGACCTGGCAATCATAAATGATAGCTCAACTAAGTGGCATATTATGTGGACATTTATAGCAATCACATAATCTAGACCCACGTTTCTAAATGTAGAGGTAAAAACCGGAGGACCCGGAGAACAATCCACGCGACCACAGGCAGAACATGCAAACTCTAAATATACAGCAGCAGGCATCAGGGTCGGGATCGAACCCACAACCTCCTGTATACCAGGCGAGGTAGTTAAGATCACGCTATCGTGTAAATCTAAGCTCTCCAATGGCTCCTGTTAAACTGGTCCATTATTAGTGTTCATTTGACAATTGTTGCACAGGTAATATTTGTTAATACTTAAAAGCAGCTTAATTAATTACCATTCTTGTCTTTATTGGGAGTTTCTGTCTGTTCAGAATGTCTGTAATGTCATGTAGGCCACGCTGTGTAGACTTGGGACAGAGCTTTCCAGGTCATCTCTTTTTATTCTTGCTCTGTAATATGTAATTCTGATTACAACTTCAGCTGTCATTTATTTGATGTGCCACATGACGCCAGTGCCAGGCAATGTGGCTGTGCAGCTCTTTTAAGTGTGAGCAGACAGCTGGATGGATGAAAAGGCAAAAAGCATAAACGGATAAGTGAATGGACAATCGAATGGACAGACACATCGAAAAATAGATAGATCAACAAAAAGTCCAAATGACATGCAGACAAATGGAATACAGATGAAAGGATACGGAGACAATTGTATGGGTTATTTAAATGGATCGATGAGAAAAATAAATGAAGGATGACTGATTGGACAGACTATTTAATTGGAAGACATATGAAAAGATGAAGAGCTGAGCAAGTAGATGGGTGGAGCAGCATATGGACAGATGATTGAATGAAATCATTTCTTAAAATAAAGAAATTGGACAAATTGAAGGAAAATTACATTAAAGGAAAGAGGTCAGACAGATGCAGACACAAATAAACAGTTGGACATATGAGCAAAATAAACAGACAGACTGAAAGGCAGTTGGGTGAATGTTAAGACAATTGGACAAACCGCTGAAAAAACACAAGGGCTGAGAATGAACAGAGAGCAAATGTACAGAAAGACAAAAAAACTGCTACAATGTCTACATGTGATTTGTTTCGCAATTGATTCAGCTGGAACACTGTACGGTACCTGACGGTTCGTAACGTAATCTAACGCGCCGGCAGTGACTGACAATTGAGAGCGCCGCAACCGAGGAACCAACACGTGCGTGGCACCATCACGTGACACTGCGGCATAGCAAGGCCGAGGTTAACACCCTGACCGAAGCTCCCGCTGCTCGCAAGTGCCCTTGGCAACCGGGGCGCCTCTGGTGCCTACCTTGCCCGCCGTGTCCGAGCGTTAAAACGGCCGTCACAGCTCACGGCACGAGGCGCCCCTCGCGCGACCGCTTACCTTGGCAACGCTGCTAGCGGGAGGCGCCTTTGATTCATGGCCAACTTTGATGGGTTTATCGCTCGTCTGTGGCTTAGGGAGGGCGGCCGCCACTGGCTCTTGATGGGCCACCTCCGGGGGCTTCTCGAACCAGTCCGTTTCCTCGCCCCGCAGGTGGTATGCTTCGAAAGGCAAATGCCACTCTTTAATCCAAATGCATGCAAGAACAGGTCGATTAACAACAATGCACTGCACGCGCCGCCTTCTAAGCACTACATGCACTGAGGCCCAACATTGAGAGTCATGGGATGTCTGCGGGCCTCACGCCCTCATGTATTTATCGAGATGCTCTCCCAACGCACCACGTATTTGTGCCTGGGTGGCACAGAGAGCTCCGACTCGCCGAGCTTAAGACTGGCAGAGGGGGAATGCTGCAATGTTACATCCCGGTCGGGAATCAACACGGAGCATTATTCATCAGCTTTGTGAAAAGTCAATTGTGGTCATTTTTTTTACAATACTGGTTCCCGCCATGAGTTTGGGGAGTTTCCGCCAGCTGTTTGGGGTCACCGATGGGGACGAGTGCTGCCCAAATGAGCGCCACCCTGACCACACGCACATTAGGCGGTCATTTTCCTGGCCTGGACCTCGCTGTTAGGTTGACTTGGCCTAAAATTAAAAAAATGTCATTGGGAGATTTAAAAGTGGTGAAGTGCGAGGTGTGCTCGCTCTACCAGAATTCTGTTTGTTGCTGCTGAGCATCAACAGCTGCTCGCTAGCAACCACTTTGTGTCAATGGTCCATCTCAATGGATTGGGTATTTATACATATACTTTAAGTACTCTTAAAGTTGGGAAAACTTACAACTGGCGATGGCTCAATTGTGGTCGGGAAAATATCACCCAGTAATGTTGTTCGTGAAGTAAAAAAAAATGTTGGACGAGCAGATGAAAAAACCATTAATAACAAATATCGCGCACAATCAGGGCAACATTAAGCGTGAGATCACGGCAATCATTCATCACGTATTGCGTCGACATGACAGAGCGGACAACACAATGGCAATTAAAAAAATATGGTTGTGTTCAAACATCAAAAGCTTTAGATGTTGAATTTCATAGCAATTCGTGTAATTCAACATTTTATTTTTGCTCAAACACATGGCGCCTTGCCGGCATAAATATGCCTCTCAAAGCACCAACAAAGTGTTCTAAGGCTCGCGACTTTCCCAATTTCTCAACATGAAGACGACACGAGAATACTGAGAATGTGTCTCAAATAGACAAACCCCGGCGATCCGTTGTGCCATGTAATGAGAGATTCTACCATCCAGTACACTGTGCTACAGCCTTGGAAGCTCGACTTGAGAGGTGAGAGAGACCCAGTCACAGTACAATCCCACATGTTTGACCGTCACGTCTCTGCCCTGGCCAAATAACCACCCACACCCAGTGCGATGTTTGTGCACAGTGTAATCGTCATTGTGTATAGATGTTCACTTATCCGACCTTTTCACATATTCGCCGTTGCCTTAGTCTCCTGCAGTGAATTGGATACGTGGACTTTGTGCTGTCATTGCACATTGCATCGCTGTATTAACTGTCATGCCAGCAGGCCAGACCGGCGATCTGTGGATTGCAAATCCAGCGTTCTAACCATTAAACTCTGGCAGCATCCCTGATATTATAATACAAAACATTTAAAATCACTGCGCTCGGTGCTCAGAATATATTTGAACGTATATCCTCGCTAATTTGTGCTAGACGATACTTTGTTTCAACTGCTGCATGGGAATGGTTGAATCGAACCGGCAGCCTCTGGATTGCAAGTCCAGCATCACGACCATCCCACTCGAGCAGCAATCCTATTGTTCGGTCCTTCTCCTTCGCTGGAAATAAACTTCCCCTGTACATGGTACAGTCCCCCTCCTTAACCTCCTTCCGTTCCTCTCTTAAAGCCTCACCTCTTCTCCATTCGTGATCCCCAAGTACCCCTCGATCGCTGTCACTCATTCCTCACTCCTTACAGCACAACCCTGCCATCTACATCGTTCCATTCCGTGTCGCCATTGTGTAAGCGGCTCGATGTAAATATAGACTAGATGAGGATGGGTGCCTGGAGGGAATAAAAACCCACCTTCACTGTCGGACATGGCGTGCTGCGCGTCGTCAGGCATAAAGACGGCGTCGCGCTCGTAGCCGCGCTGGGGCCGCGCCTCGGGCTTGCCGTGCCTCTGCACCTCGGGCAGCGAGTGGCTCGACCCGAACGAATCTCGCGCCACGGCAGCCGCCACCGACGGCGGGGCGTACGGCGGCCCCGCGGCGCGCGACGGCTTGCGCACCACCACCTCCTCCTCCGAGGTCTGGGCCGGCCCGCACGAGCGGCCCTTGCCCACGCCGCCCGACTTGGAGCGCGAGTGGGACGATGACACGTGAGGCGCGTCCGAGTAGCGCGACCGCGATGGCCCGCCGCCACCGACGCCCGCGCCGCCGTACGGCGCATAGGGCCCGTCGTCCGACTCGTACTTGCCACCGTAGCCCCGGTTGCCACCCTTGCACGACGGCTTGGGCCCCTGCGGGGGGGCGTACGAGGAGTACGGCTCGGCGGCGTGCGACGAGTGCTGCGAGCGGCCCTCGCCGCCGTAGTACTTGTCGGGGTCGCCGTGGCTCCTGCTGCGCGAGGAGGAGACGCCGCCGTACTTCTGCTGATCGCTGATGTTCTTCTTGAGGCCATAGGTGATGTCGTCTTGCAGCTTGCGGGCACGCGAAGACACCGAGCCCCTGGAGCCCGACGACACGCCACTGCCGCCGCCGCCGCCACCGCCACCACCGCCGTAGTAGGCGTAGTCGGCCTCCCCATCGTTGGACTCCTCGATGGGAGAAAATGTCGACATTTTCTGCTCGGCGCTCTGCTTCTTGTGTTTGCCGCGCTTGGACATGACCGCCGAGGAGAAGGATGGTGAGACCTGCTTGTGCGACGAGTTGCGGCTCGAGCCGTGCTTGTCGGAGCGCCTAGCCGACTGCTTGTAGTCGCTATCGTCGTAGCCGTAGGAGGAGGCCGTCGGGCCGTAATCGTCATTGTTCTTCGACCGTTGGTGATGATGGTGGTGGTTTTTCGTACACTTCTGCTGCTCGTAGGGATCTCCCGACAGAGGCTCCACGTCCTTGTCGTAAGAGTACAGCTGGGAGGAGATGGAAGAGGCGGCCGGAGCATCAACCGTGTGGTCGTACGGCGATGGCGACGACGACTGCTGCGGCAGCTTCTGCCGCTCAGAAGCAGCGGGGGCGGCGTCCGCCCGCCGCTTCTCATACGTGAACTTCTGACGCTCGCTCTTCACCTGCGAGGAGGTTCCTCCGTCCCGGCCACCCCCGGCGAGCAAACTGGCACCGGACGCCGAGGCCTTCGTCAGCTCGCTGATGTCATCGATCATCACGTAGTTCCTTGGGATGCTCTGCTCTAGGTCGGAGTAGAACGACTCGGCCGACACGTTGGATGCGGGGCTTCCCTTCTCGTCACCCGGAAGCCTCAGCTCGGCCTGCTCGTAGCGCCCGCCCCCTCCTCCCGCCGCGGGGTCTGCCGCGGACGACGACGAAGACGCCGCCACCGACGTCGCCAGCAGCGGCAGCCCTGGCACCACCTCGTAGTTGGTCATCAGTTTGGGCTCCAGGTCGGCCAAGTTGGTCTGCTTGGTCGGATGCTTGCCGAGCGGTGCGGCCAGCGCCTGCGCCGTGGTCACGGCCACGGCTGCCGGGTAAACCGCGGGTGCCTGAGCGGGTGGCTGGCTCTGGACGTACGCCGCCACCGGCTGCTGCTGCTGCTGTTGGTACTGCACACACGGCTGCGCCTGGTACGGCTGCGCAAACGGCTGCGGGTAGGCGTGCGGCAACGTCGAGTACCCCACGCCGCCAGCGACGACGCCCTGGTAAGCCGGCATGCCGACGCCGCTTTGCCCATAGAAGGCGGTCTGCCCGTGCATCTGCGGCGGCTGCGGCTGGTACTGCCCAACCTGCTGGTAGCTCAGCTGCTGGTAGCCCGGCTGCTGTGGGTACAGTGTCGGAGGCACGTGGGAGGTGGGCTGTTGGTACGGAATAAAAGCCGACGGCTGCGTGAAATGGGCACTCGTTAGTGTATAGCTCGAATGCTGCTGTTGTTGTTGCTGCTGCAGCTGTTGTTGAGTTGTCTTGGGTCCGTCTAGCCTCACAGAGCTGGCGGCACCACCGCCACCTACACTACAGCCGACGATGCTGCTGCTGCTGCTAATGGTGGCCTCGGCCACGACTGACTCTTCGACGATGCTCGCCCACGCGCTCGTGCTGGCAGGCGCGGCCTCCTTGCCAGGGCCATCCGGCTTGCGCAGGACACCCTGCTCCAGGTTCTTGAGCTTGGCGTCGATCTCCTTCTCCTCCTCGTCCAGCTCGGCCTGCTTCTGCCGCAGCTTCACTGACTCCTTCTCCACGAGCTCCAGCTCCTTGTTGATCTCCTTGAGCAGCTTGTCGCGTTGCATGGGCGTGATCTGGCCCGACAGGCTACGCCCCATTGAGGCCAGGAGCTGGGCAGACGTGGGGACGGCCTCCTCGGGCGGCGGGTTGGGCAGCGTCCTCTTCACCTTCCGTGCCAACGAAGGGCTCTGCTGAGTTTTGTCCTGCGAGATAACGATCGGTGATGACAGTGACGATCGTGTACATTCGGTGTTCGTGCAATTCCTAATGCGACAGGCTTGTCAAGAAGGAAGTCGGTGGTGTTTCATCTACCAACGAGTCTCATGGCCGGCCTAGTCACATCCCACCTAGAGACACCATCTGTTGTTACAAGCCTCTTCACTTCCTGGATATTTCTTTACTGTTAGGGTTAATAGGTTTGACAAGTTTTTGTCGTTTATAAATTATTTCGGTTTTCATCTCTAAACAATACTTTGCGAACTCCAAAGCAGTGAAAGGTGTACATTATTATAATTATAATAACAACCACTGCACCACTGTTCCACAACCAAGATACAATGATGATAATAATAATGGTAAATGGAAGTTAACAATATTGATTTGAAGCTTTCGTGACTGCAGGAATCCATACTCTTTGGTTCTTTCGGTAAAGTCACGTAGGTATAAAAATAATAGATCACGACGTTTCGATCGCAACACAAGTAATCGTCATCAGGTGGAACAACCACAGCAAGAAAGTAGTAAGGGAGAGGGAGAATGGGGGGGGGAAGAGGCGGGGCAGAAAGTGGACCCCGCAGCAGCACCTGGGACACTGGGTCACTGCCCTCCTCCTCCCCCCTTCTCTCTCCCCCACCTGCAGCCGACCTCTCCGGTGCTGCTGCGGGGTCCACTTTCTGCCCCGCCTCTCCCCCCCCCCCCCTTCTCTCTCCCCCCCTACTACCGAGGCCTACTATATAACCTCATGCCATGGCAGATCTCTCGCCTACTTCAGCAGTTTTTTCTTGCTGTGGTTGTCCCACCTGATGACGATTGCTTGTGTTGTGATCGAAATGTTGTAATCTATTATTTTTCTACCTACATGACTTTACCGAAAGAACCAAAGACTAAGGTAACAATACGATGATGCGGAGCATTCGATACCTGCTGGCCGGAGCTCTGGTAGGCCCCACTGCTCTCCAGCGGTTTGGTGTCGGCAGAGCAGTGGTGGACGACCACGCGGGGGGTGGCCGCAGACTGCAAGGAGGACACTGACGCGGCCACCGTCGTCGTCGCGTGCTTCTGCGGGGAGACGTGCGCCGCCCTGTGCTGCTTGTCGTAGGAGCCAAATGGCGATGGCGCCGGCTTGCTCTGTCCGATGGGGGAGACGGGCGAGTACAGCACCTTGGGAGATTTGGGCGAGGTCTGCTGGTGCCCGGACGAGTCGGGCGGCTGCTGCCCAGCTCCGTACGCGATCTCGAGCGGGGCTGGTCGCTTCCTGTAGACCGAGGACGCGGATGCCTGCTGCTGCTGCTGCGTTACTGTCGAGTATGAGCAGCCCTTCGAGTAGACACTCTGGCCTGCGGCTTGCTGCTGCTGTGCAAACGGCATGCAGGCCTCCAAGTCGGTCTGGCAGGCCAGGCTGCCGCCCTTGGTGCCACGCTCGGGCGCCGAGATGTGATGCACAATCTCTGTGCGGGACAGCGTGGGGAAGGCGACCACCGGGCACTTGGCAATATCTTCCGGCTCGGTCTGCGCGGAGCGGTGCGCGATGGTCTGCACGGCGATGCTGGACATCGACTTGGATGCGGGCCTGCACTTGTCAAGCTCCACGCAGGCGTCCCCACACCTAGCTGACCTCGGCCTCCTGCGCCGTGACGGATGGCTCCAGTCGTCGCCGCAGTTGTCCTCCTCGTCATCGGTCTGCACGCCGCAGTCGACGCTCCGGCGAGCCCTCCTCCGGCGGCCCTCGAAGCAGCGCTCCGCATCCTCTTCATCTGTCTGCACCCCGCTGTCCATCTTGGACCTCCTCACCCCCCTGAACGAGGACGGCGTGCCCACGTCCCTGTCGTCATCGTCCTCATCATAGGAGACCCTCGGCCCCGAAATGGAACTCCGCCGTCGCACCACCTTCCTGCCCCTGTAACCGCCGTCCTTGATTGGCGCGTCCGACGTTGACATGGCCATGGGGTGACGTGGGTGTTGCTGATGAGGGATTCCCTCTCCCTGGCCTCTGGCGGCCTTCTCTTTTTCGGACGTCATTGCGTGGGGAGCTCCATGCCAATAGTGGCTGCTCGCGATGCCCTGAGCTTCCATCTCCTGGACCATCTGCGGTGTCCACCTTCCGGCCGCCGGGTCATGAGCGAACGTCACAGGGCCGACCTGTCTGACCTTCTGCTCCTGCAGCTGCTGCTGAAGCTGCTGCTGTAGCTGCTGGATCTTCTCTATCTGCATCCGCTGCTGAGCCATCTGCTCCTGCTGCAGTGACATCTGCGCCTGCCGCTCCTCCTGCTGCTGCTGGAAGATGTGCTGCTTCATCTTCTGCAAGTCCTGCAGCTCCTGCTCCATGAGCCTCTTCTCCTGATCGAGGCGCTGCTTCATCTCCAAGCGGTCCCGCTCAAGCTCCTCGTGGATCCTCTTCTGCTTGAGCTTCTCGATCTCTAGGATCTCTTGCTGGATCAGCAGCTGCTGCTCCATGTGCTTCTTCTGAATCTGCTCCTGCTCCCTCCGCCGCGCTTCTTCCGCTTCCCGCAGCCGCCTCTGTTCTTCCTCGTTCCTCCTCCGTGCCTCTTCGATTTCCCGCATCCTTTGAAACTCTTGCTCCCTCTTTCTCCGCTCCTCATCCTCCACCTTCTTCCTCGCTTCTTCCTCCCTCAGCCGCCTCTCCCCCTCCTCCTCCACATTCCGCGCCACCACTTTAACCTCCTCACTCTCCTTCCACGTATTCCCCTCGTCCACCTTTGCCACTTGTGGCACCGCCGGGATCGAAGGCGCCGCGGCGTGGACGGTCATCGCCTGCTCCCCACGCTCGGACGCTGGCGGCTTCGCCTTCTCAGCCACCACAGTCAAGTTGAGGCCGGGGTCGGAGATGCCCATGTGCATCACGGGCACCACCGACGTGACGGGCTGGTGTGCCGTCACGGCCACCCCCTTGATAAGAGGGATGGGCTGCACCTGCTGCTTCGTGAAGGCCGCTGCCTGCTCGCCCACCATCTGGTACGTGTAGGATGCCACTTGCTGACCTGCCTGCGGCTTGTCTGCTGGCTGCGAGTAGCTGAGGCTGCCACTCATCGTGCTGCCCTGGTGGAACTGAGGCGGCACGGTGGCGGCCGGCTGCGGGGGCCTCATCTGCGCCACGGCGCCAGCTTTGTTGATGAGGGGCGCCGACTCCATCCTGGTGACGCTGCCCACGGGCCGCTCGGCCTGCGTGACCCTCACGGGGTACGCCAGCGGCGGCAGCACCTGTCGAGGCATCGGCATCCCCACTGGCCTCGGATATGCGGGCGCCGGGAAGCGGTTGAGCGGGTAGCGCGGGTTTAGTGGCCCCAGCGGCGCCGGCGTGAACGTGGTGGGCCTATAGTTGTCCTTGTAGGGCGACGGCATGATGGAGGATGGTTGCGTGGTGATGGGTAGTGTGGACAAGATTGGCGTCGTGATGGTCGAGTACAGCAGTCCGCCGGGCGTCCTGAACGAGCCCGAGAGGCCCAGCTGCTTACTGACCGAGTCCGAATACTGGCCATGCAGCGACTGGCCGTGCAGTGTGTATGGCAATTGTCCCAGCTGAGGTCTCGGCATCATTTGGCTCAGTTGACCGGTGAATGGCTGATTGACCTTCATGCCCATGGGCACGTTTTGCTGGGGGCGAGAGGCGAACGTGGGCATGGCGCTGGCCTGGCTCATGCCGAACTGCACAGTTTCTCTCTGGTCGCTGTATGCCGTCCACTCCTGCTGCAGGGCATTGAGCTCAGAGCACAGTTTGTTGATTTCCCTGATCGTGTCTGCGGTGGACTGCCAGGAGCCCGCATTGGCCTGCCTCACGTTGTACAGATTTCTGCCGTAGTAGTCAAACTCTGGGTCCAGCTTTGATATGTTGAGGTCAGAGTTGTAACGTCTCATGGGCCTCATGTAGTAGTCCTGCTCCTCCTGGTTCCACCGGAGGTCCGATGATGACCCATACATACTGTCGTATCTCAAGTCGCCTCCTTCGGGCTTCCGTTGCATCCCTTTTCTGGATGTCAGGTCGACCACGGATCCATTGCCATCGAACTCCGCGTTGTTCCTACTACGGTAGGAGAACATCCCTATGTCAGCGAGGTTTGTGTCCGAAAACGACGACTTCATCGGGCTCAGCACGAAGTTGGGATTCATCGGCGATGGTGGAATCTCTGGGTAGTAGTAGTGGGTTGGGTCGAACCGGTGATGGGGCGGAGGCGTAATGGGAACGCCCGGAGATGACCTCTCCTTCTTGGCCGACTTCATGAAAGGAAACTTGTAGACGACGTCGCAGCACACGGCACGCCTCTCCTCCCGGCCGCCGGTCAGGTCCACGGGGTCCGTGGCCACGTCCCTGCTCGCGAGCCTCGTCACGGCCCGGTTCACTGAATCGTCCATGGTAACGACCGTGTCGTGTGGCTTCGCACTACCACCGCCGCAGTGGTGGTGGTGGTGGCCTTCCCCGTGCGAGATGGAGCGCCGGATGCGCCGCTGTGGAGTCTGGACGGCCTCCTCCTCCTCGTCCTCCTCCTCATCGTCATCGTTGTCTGTCTGGACAGCGGTGGCAGTCATTGACTTGGGTGGTGCTCGCGTCGCGTCCACCGCGACCGAGCTGCGAGAGGGGCAGCTAGACACCAGGTCGAGCGGCTTGTGCACCGTGCCGTCGCCCGGCTGGTATGGCGGGGGCTGCGACACGGCGTTGTAAGCTCCGGAAGTGTGAGTGGCCGGGTTGAACACGGTGACTGGCTGCGGCTGATCCGAGCTGACGGCGCTCAGATTCATTACGCCCGACGAGACGACGTGCCTGATGGAGTCCTCGCTCGGGAGGGAATACCGCCTCCCTTCCCCACCGAAAGAAGTTAAATCCATCCCACCGTCGGTCATAACGTGCTTGGCGAGCATCGTGGAAGATCTCAGATCCATGACGCTGGTGCCGACGGGAGTTGTGCTCGTCTGCGCGTGTTTCATGTTGGCGCTGGGGCCAATGCCCGTCTGCGATGTTCTGTTCACCATCGAGATGCCGGCATTTTTGACAGAAGTGCCCGGTCCACAGCTGGAATGCCCTCCTTGCCTGGCGCCGCCACTACCCCTCTGACCTTGCTGCATCAGATTTCCGGATCCTGCCGCAGCACGAGAAGTCGACTCGTAAGCATCGGACGTGACGGAGCTGGATCGCTGCAGCGATGACACTCCTTGTTTCTTAGCGTCAGCTGCAAACCCGCTCTGTTTACCCTGCAGGCTCTGCTGCCTGGTGAGGCGTGCGGAGGGCGTGACTGACGCTGAAGCCTTCGTCGCCGGAACCCCTCCGGCGGTCTGCGTCGACGACGGCGCTGAGCCTTGCGCCGTTGCAGAATCCACAGATGTTTGTTTTGTCATCGCACCAGACAAGCTCTGAGAAGGCCCCACGTACGACGATGACGATGACCCCGAAGCAGACGTGGCTGCTCTGCCCGGTTGATTCATCGCCGCCGCCACGGCCGCCGGACCTGCAGCACCGTCATCATCTGTCGAGAAGTGCTGTGTGATCTGAACGGCCGGCACACTCTGGTTGTTGTAAATAATCTGTGTGGGAAAACAGATTGCTGTGTGCTCTATTTGGTGAGGCGGAGTCATCGGGGAGGACGGCTGCGTGGGGCTCGTCCCTGGAGTGAGCATCTCTTGGTGCCTCTTCATGAGCTCGTCGTAAGCAGCGTCCGCATCCAGCAGCTTCTTGTCCTGCTTAGACACCAGGGCGGTGTCCGAGTAACTCGCCGAGATGTTGCCGCTGTCAATTTCTTCTTTGCTGCGCAGCTCCAGCTTAAGCGACGTTGTGCTGTATGACCGGTTGTTCTGCTGCAGCTCCTGTAGACGCTGGGAGATCTCGTCGTATATCTCATTGGAGCTCTTGGATGGCCCCACCGACTGCCACCCGTGAGATCCCCTCTCCATGTCCTCGTCCATGCTGTAGAGCGAGTCCTGACCACTGTCGGCCAGGTCGGTCTGCTGCGACGGATCGTCGCACTGGCTGTTGTCCATGACTTGCATAAACTCCTGGTGGCCCGAATGCTGGCTCTGCAGAAGCCGGGCCTTCCTCATCATCTCCTCATAGACCTCTTCGGCGCTGCGCAGGAGCTTGTCCGATGTGTCCTCTCGTTGAAGCCTGCCAGGCTCTTTCCCGTCCTGGCCGCTCACATTGCTCAGGGACTGAGCTGTGAGCATGTTGAACTCCTGTTGCAGTTTGTAGAGCTTCTCCGTGTAAACCTCGAAGCCCTCCGGCTCGGACTCAATGCTGGGCGAGTACTCAGAGCATGAGGAGCGGTGCAGCTCCTCCATCTCAGCCGCCTGCCTCAGCTCCTCGGTAGGCGATGCATCCTCAATCGGAGAAAGGTTGCTGGGAGATGCCCTGGAGCGCCGCCTCCTCTGCGCCCTCAGCTCCTCCTTGTCGCGCTTTGACTTGCGGCCCAGGTTCTTCCGCTGCTGTAGCTCCTGCTCCCGCAGCTTCTCCTGCTCCTTGAGGAGCTCCTCCTCCTCCCGCAGCTCGTCTTCTTCCGACGAGTCTTCGATGGTCGGCAGCTGTGGGCCGTGCGAGTGGTGTTTGGGTTTCCGCTGCTTCTTCACCTCTTCGGGTTTGCGCCTGCGGCTGGGGCTGCCGTCGCTGTCCTCCTCCAGAGAGGACACAGAGGGTGACGTCCCACTGCCTGGTGTCATGCTCGAAGCCGCCGGGTAGCTCGACGAGCCGTCGCCCTGAGACCGGTCCTCCGCCGTGTCCGTCAAACTTTCCATCTCCAGCTCTGGCTCTTTGTCGAAAAACACATCATCACCGGGGCTCCCAGCTAAGCCCAAACCACCTGTATCCTGATACTGTCCAAACTTTGCTTCGTTCCCCTTCTCCGCGTCTTTCTTCTTGTATGCTTTCTCTCCACTCTCACCCGCTGACCGCCCTTTCACATCGTCATCGTCCTCCTCCTCCTCTTCCTCCTCGGACGCGGAGCCTCCCTCGTCGGCGCTCATCTCCAGAAGCTGTCTGCGGATGAAGTCCTCGTCCTCGTCCTCGGGCTGCACCGGCTCCTTACCTCGGGCCTGCTGGCCGGCCTGGCCTTTTGCTGCTCCCGTCGCCATTGTCGCTGCCGCCACCCCTCTCTGCGGACGTTGCCGTCGACGCTGCCGTCGTTGTCGCCGCCGTCGTTGTCACGAAGCCCTTGCCGTACGGCAGGGGCGATGGCGTGCTCTCGCTGCTGTCCTCCACCATGTCGTGCCGCTGGATCCTCGCCAGCTCCTCATCCAGGGAGTCCAGGCTCTCGCGGCGGCTGGCGTCCGAGTGGCTCCTCAACGTGCTGTCCATGTCCATCACGCCCTCGTCCACCTCCTTCATGTCTCGCGCGTCCTCCTCGCCCGAGCTGTACGACTCCGGCGTGATGGAGAGAGAGCGAGGCCTCTGCCGCCTGTCTCTGCCCTGCAGGCTCTGGCCCTGCCTCGTCTTGTCCTGCCCCTTGTTGTTGGCCTTTGGCTTCTGCAGGAGATTTTTGTTGTCTTTGTCCGATGTGACCGCAGACCGTTTGCCCGCCTGTTTCTTCTTATCAGCCGGCACATCTTTTACCTGGCTATCGAGCTGCTTCTGACTCGCCGCCATTCCCTGGGAGAAAAATAAAATGACAATTGATCCGTTATCAGTCACTACAAACACAAATGCAATGATACTTTACTTTTGAATTGTTCATTGTCATTTATTTTATGTTTTCGAATGATCACTCGCCAAATAAGTTGCAGGCCAATATTCAAGAGGTGTATGAACATGTACACTAGAACAGTTTGTGTAGTCAGGGTGATATTTCCAAAGCATTTAACCAAACTAAGCAACAAACCGGATGTTTATTTGCAGAGGTTACCAAGTTTGAAATGCATTATCTGCAACTGTGCATATTTCTCACTCTAAAGTTGGGTTTGAAGAAAAATGCCGTGAATATCTGCCCTCTATAACAACTTAACCTCTGCATCTTGTTTGGTGTAATCTAACTTGCTATTGTCAGTTCTGTTTGTGTGAATTTGTCTTAGTTTGGCTCTCTGAGCTGTAGGCCCTTAAAGTGAATGCTGAGAATTGTAAGAACTGAAGCCATGGCCAGGCCTATTGAGCTGTACCAAAACTCAAAACACATTACTCAATAACGCTGCCATAGAGAGGAAACATTTACAATTGTTGATGTTTCAATCAATGGCACTTCTTCATAACAAAGAGTCTCTCTATGCTTCAGATTTTTAAAAAATCCACTTTAGGGCAGTGCTATTGGTGTATTTTTGTTTATTGTGCTTACGCACCACTTGTAACACCGAATTACATTTTTGTTGTTGAATATCTGTACCAGCTGCATAACACGGCATTACTGTTTGACTCTTATCAGCTCACCAAGCCAGGCTGCTGTTGCTGTTGCTGCATGTCCATCTTCTGAGCCACAGCCAGCCCCGACTTAACATCCATCGCACCACCTCCACCTGGCTGATGATGCAAACCATCTGACAGCAGCAGAGACGATGCTGGCAGCTGTACGTTGGGTTCCACCACCGACATCCCAGATCCTGCTGCTGCTGCAGCCGATGTCACAGTTGCATATGGTCGTTCGTTTTGCTGCTGCTTCTGCTGCTGCTGCTGCAGCCCTTGGCTTTGAGCAGACGGTTGCTTGGCCGGCGACTTGAACGGAGACGAGGATGGCGATGCCGATGAGGAGGGTGGCTGTTTCTGGGGAGATGGCGGCACGGACTTGGTGGGGTGAGATGCGGGCTGCTGTTGCAGAGGGAGACCAGGGGTATCCAGATCTCCCAACTGCCCCGCCATAAGCCTCTCCGTGTTGCACGTCAGGCAGAGCCATTCCTTCTTCTGTGCGAAGGAAGGAAAAACAAGGGAGCGTTCAATGAGACCACTCACCTGTCTGTGTAACGGTCGCGAGAGAGGGGCAATGGCTCATCTCCGATGTAGAGTCAAATGTGGATATTTCCCGTTGCAATGGCAAGCACCATTATTTATCCATAGCATTAGGCAGTTGAAATAACAATTGTAATTAGTGAACCATGTTTACCTCGCCGATACACATACAGCAACTATACCAAAAGGGGTAAACAATGTGATTTGGCACTGTGCTCCTGATTAAGTGCAATGTGCGTTGCATGTGGAAAAACACATCTGAATAAACATTAACAAATATGGAACATTTTAATCTATATATTTCATTTCGAACTCACATGTGTGGGATTTTTTGATTATTAGAGAAGTGCACTGCTGTGACCAAATCACTCAGAATGCACCAGAAGAAGTAATACAGCGTAAGGATACGCAATGTTTACACAATCGCGCTTGCAGCAAAGCACCAATGACACAAACATGACGGGTCGAACCCCTCCTGATGGAGTCACGTGACACACCCGAGGTTCTCCTGCGTGAATAAACGGCATCGTGTGGCGCCTCCTGACATCACCAGTTGGCGAGTTTGATTCAACAGATGAAACCATTTGGGACCCGGGAATACCCTGGGAATGCTTCGTGATGTGGGGATTTATTTCCTCAACACCAGAGGTGTGGACTCGAGTCATGTGACTTGGACTCGAGTCAGACTCGAGTCATGAATTTGATGACTTCAGACTCGACTTGGACTTGCATAACAATGACTTTGTCCCACCTCTGAGGTGTGGACTCGAGTCATGTGACTTGGACTCGAGTCAGACTCGAGTCATGAATTTGATGACTTCAGACTCGACTTGGACTTGCATAACAATGACTTTGTCCCACCTCTGAGGTGTGGACTCGAGTCATGTGACTTGGACTCGAGTCAGACTCGAGTCATGAATTTGATGACTTCAGACTCGACTTGGACTTGCATAACAATGACTTTGTCCCACCTCTGACCAACACTACCGAGAACGACTGTTCACCTGCAAACGCCTCGCTCAGTCTCAATGCCATTTTCACGTTTGGCCATTGTATTATTATTGAGTGGGGTAGGAAATGAGAGTGCCCAGAGAAAGCCCCACAACCACAAGGAAATGTGACACTCAAGCTCCTCACGGACGAGTCAGAATCGTACTCGTTGGTCCTGTTTCATCCAGGACAGCGTGTTACTCTGTCGGTCAGATCTCCGAGTGACACGGCAAACCCTACCTCGACGTGCTTATATTATTGGCGAGTGCCAGCGCACTTGGATAACGAATGTTGATGTCACGAGTTCTGTCTTCCACATTCCCTTGCACGTAAGACTGAGAGCTCTTTCATGAATCTCGGCTGAAAATGCTGCAAGGCTTGAACTATCCAAGTCAGTGATTTAACACCCCACTGAACCATAAACTACGTGCAGGGGGGGGCGGGGATGGTGGCGTCATGTGACTGCGGAATGACCGCTACGTTGTCCACTACCTAGTTACGTTTACAAAACGAAATACATTATCCATATTATCCATAATGATGCAGGGTTACTGCTTCAGAGAGCTTATTGACTGCTGCGATTACGCAAAAAAAACAAATGTTCTGTAATAAATGTAATTATTTAAAAGGTCTGACTAATGATTGCACTAAAGTAAATGCTATGGCTTCTAAGTCGTTTCGCAATGTGCTCTGTGTGTTATCAGGCTTTCTGCCGTGGAGCGTTCTCGACAGGTATGTGTTAACACTGCTAATGTACAACTGGAATATAATTATGTGTGTAGCCAACACAATTAAATCATTACTATGTAAGTCAAGCATTTCACTGCAGGGAAATGCAGCAATGAACTACACACAGCCTGATTAAAATAATTTTTCAACAGCACTGGCTATAAAAAACATGTTGTTTTTAATACATATAACGAAACACCTCACTGGGTGGTGCTATGGTTAGAGCTCATGCTCTTTGGTTTCTTCAGTAAAGTCACGTAGATTAAATAAAATTACAATGAAAGCAAATAAATTAAATCACGACGTTTCGGAAACAACACAAGCATCCGTCATCAGGTGTGACTGCTCCAGAAAAATGACTGAAGCGTATAAAACCATGAGCGTAGAGCTCATGATTTAACAATCAGAAGGCCACAAATCCACCTATACAGTCACGTGGGCATCTCTTATCCACTCCTTGCGTGGTTCTCCGCTGCATTCCATCTGAATGGAATTTCTTCGTCCTCTATCCAGGGAATAACCCCATCGTGCAAACCTCTGCAGTATGGTGATCCTCATGGCTCTATGCTTAGTCCTCGACTCCTTGCCATGTACCCCTACTTCCTCCAGATGAAATTATTTTGAGTTTTGAGATTGGTCATCACTTCTTTGCCGACCACGCGCAGCTCGATGTGTCGCTTTCGCTCTTCCTGTGTCACCGCTGTCTCCGAGCAGATGACGTCAAGTTTTATTCAACTCAAATAACAAACAGATCTACTCGTACACGATTCCAATCACCTGCTGTTCACCGACTTTAGATATCGTCGAGCATGTGTGTAAGCTTAGCGTCCTCCTGGGCGACTCGGAGCTATCTATTTCTCACCATATTTTGATTAGCACGGTTGGCTACGTACGGTGTGAAAGAAGTTCAACATACATACATATTTCTCAGGCTTCTAAATATGCTTCCCATCACCCGCAAAAAATGTCCACGGATCCATAACGTCCTATACTATGCTCCTGAAACCTTAATTCGTGCCTTTGTAACCTCCAGATAAGATTACTACAATTTCCGACTCTCTCACTCAACGTAATCAACTCATCCAAAAGGCTGCCAAAAGGGTGCTCGCTCGTACCCATTAAATATGATGACATCAAACGTGGACAGCAGCCCATCGCCACGCTTTTAAACTGAACATCGTTCCAGCAGCAGCAGCAGCACTGAATGAGCAGCCTCCCGTCATTTCAGACGTAGCTTTGTCATTGAGTGCTGATCAAACCTTATTCTCTTTAGTAAAACAAAAACTGCTTTGTAGTTGTATCGTTCATTTTATTTCCCAGACTTCTCTGCCTCAGGAATGTAGGGCAGATAAATACATTTTATTGAAATGGTGATTGGGGCCCAGGAATGCATTGGCAGGAGTATGCCCTAAACAAACCTTCCCACAATGCAATGCGCCAGCAACATTTCACTTTTAACTTAAATTCGTTTATATTAGAATACTTTTTTTTATTATTTAAGGATGTGTCTGTTGCTCGATAGCTACTATTCGGTAATTATAAAAATGCCTATTTAAAAACTGATCAGAATTTTTTTTTTAAATGTTAATCTAATCAGGACCCCATGTTATCAAATGCAGTCTCCAAACCTAATTAACTCTAACGCTGACCTCTCTTCTCCGTGTGCTATGAACACGTTTCTGAAAGCCAGGAACCAGAATCTACAGTCAAACAAAAAGTGCAAGTCAATAACATCTAAACATCTTTCACAGTCCTTTATATTTACTCACCCTGACGCTGGATGCACCCTTGACAAATAACCCTTTCTGTAGGAATTTGAACAAAAACCCTACGGTCATCTGCCCATCACCAACAACTGCGCACATCTTTGAGTTGACAAAAACAATTTGCCAATTTTGTCAAGATGTGAACGTGGCCCATAGTAACGTGTCACCTTGTCTAGCGGCTGTAACAGCTTAGGCAATCTGAAGGTCTCTTTGAGGTGATGCTAACTCTAAGCCCCCTTCCTCACCACCGATTAATGCTCCTCTCCAGACTGCTGCTGCTGCTACTGTGATGAACAGTATGCACCTCGTCTCACCGTTCCACTCACAATACATGTGGTCGGTGAATGAAGAAACAGGTAGACTGAGTATCACTCTCACTTCAGCTGTGGAGAGCAGCACACAGTCCAGGCATTCCAGTGAACTGTGATAAGTTGCTTTGTTGTCAATACAACTTCAATCCTGATGATGATGTGACGATGCTTGGAATGCCGAATGGAGTTCACAACAAATTACAATCACCTCTTCAATAACGCGACGATGTAGACGATCCCCTGGGCTTTGAGCTTCCACCAAGCTCATGGACCACAACCCCAAGCTGAACCACATCCACGGAAAAAAATGGCAGCAGTAGGTGCAGATACTGGATGTGCGAATGGAAAATTGCACACTCTCCGGTGTGCGACCACGGTCAGCCAGAACACACCATTTAACGGCTCGATGTCCGATTCACAAATACGAAGGGAATCTCCATCATCATCATCATCGCAGTAATGCGCACCACTCAAACATCTGGCTCAACCGCCTCAATGTAAAAGTATCGCTCTCGCTCTTCTTCTAGATCAATGTCAGCCATACGAAGAAGGAGAAGTCGCGTTGTGTTGTGTGGGAGAGAGACAGAGGTAACGAGTGACAGGGAGAGATCAGAAAAGATGGAGAGAGGTGAAGCGAAATAGATTGCACATTGAAGGGGATGATGGGTGGCCGGGTGGTCGCAGTGCAGCCACTGAGCCAGTTCGTGCTGCAGCGCTCCTATAAATAGCACGACTGTTGTACAGTGGCCTTGTCGCTATAAAGGACCGGAATATGGCCTTCTGTTTTTAACGCCTGAAAAAAACGCAGCAAATCCCACACCTCCATATCATATCCATGATAGACCAACTCTCTCCCTCGATGCTCCAAGCGTCGCCACGGTGTTCATGTGTGCCACGCTCCCATTCTCTTGCCAGCTCACTGCACCCAGCTGCAAAACCGTGGACAACGTTACACCAATTGTAAGTGCTATCTTGTCAATTGTTTTTTTTTCTGTTTTCCCACGTAACGATTTCCAAAGCAAATGTTGCAACCAAAACACTTTTTTTAATGCACGAAGCTGTAGACAGTAAGTAGCTTTGCAAATCGGTCTGCCAGTAAATACCGTAGGTTTTTAACAGCTTAATCTTGTAGGTAGGGTTCTCAAGTCGGCAAATATAC